AGAGCTGTGGCTTGCAGTCATTCCATTCCAATGACAATTTCCCTCATTCCTTTTCCCAAATTTACCATTTCATTATTTTTATTTTCTCTACCTCCTCCTAGTAGCATTTAATCTTCTATTTCAACTAAACCTGCCTGAGAGTTTAGTCTTTTGACCTCTTCTCCATTACCTCTCCCCTACTCCCATGTAGATGAGATGACTTATAAATGTTAAGAACCCCAAACAGGTATCTCTAGTCCATACCTCTTAACTAAACTTGTTTCCTATATCCTAATACCTATCGAATATTTCCAAGTGGGCTATCAAAAGGCATCTCAAAAAACAAATTGTACTTTTTTTCAAACTAGTTCTTTCCCATATCTTCTCCACATCAATGAGTCTACTCACGAGGAATGAGCTGGTACAGGTGCTAGACTATAAAGGATCATAAATATTTCTTACAGACGGGGCCCTACTAAGGCTATTGGTTTTGCTTAGGCCATAGAGCATGATACAGTTAGTTCCTCTGTCTCACAGAATTTATAGGACACCAAAATAAAAAGGCACTAATGACCATTTAGGCCACCTCACTGTTACAGAACAGAGCAAAGAGAGGTCTGTGGAAATTAAGAAATATGCTAGATGGTGGCAGAACCAGGTTAGTGCACTTTCTTCTGTAACTATATAAGGTTGGCATCCTTTCCTCAATCAATAACCACAGTGCAAAGTAAAGAGTAACATAAGGGAGATATGTAAAAATTGCAGCAGGGAGCAGCAAAGCCTGTGTGAGACTGGCAGAAAAGGCTTCACAAAGGAAGTAACTGGAGCTATCTCTTGAAAAACCTACAGTAGTTTTCCAGGAGAGAGCCAGTAAGGGCACTACAGATGGAACCCTCAGGATACTTGACTTCTCTGAAACATATTTAATGTTGATGATGTGGGGGATTTGCTTCGTCTTGACATTCTTTCCAATCATAGGCACAAAACCACAGAGAGCCTCCTTCCCAATCTCAAATGCAGCATTTTGTTCCTAAGGCAATACTTTAACCCTCTTAGTTTGTTTTCCCATGTGATTAGAAGTGAGATTCTAGAGAATGTGTAAACAAATCAAAAACTCTCCAATGTAAATCTACTAAATAACATCACTACTCTAAGTCCTACTGCCATAAGCAACATGCCGTATGGTAAAAGAAAATAGTTTGATGTAGAGAAAGATATTATTTTTGAAGAAGAGAACCCTCTTTTCATCACTTTACCATTTTTAAGTCTAACTTTGTTAACTCTAATGTTAGGCAGATACTTTTTCAGCTACATATGCATTTTGTTTTCTCAAAGTTAATAATATGATTGTTTTTCATGCTTCCATATAAATGTTGAGGTTATAAGAAAAAGTCGTAGGATCATTATTGCACCATCTGTTCTAGCTGGTTTGTTTTAGTCATATGCTTTTCAGTGTTCTTACTGAGCTGTCAACAATCTGCCAATTAATTTTGAGAACCTAACAGGTTGTCAGAGGTTACTATACTGAGAGAGTGAGCTCACCAGCCAGTATTATCGTGCAATTGCTAACTGCAGATTTACAGACAATTTCCAGAGCACCTTTTGTGGATGAGTAAATTTTTAAAGACATAATAATGACATCTTTGCATCCTGTAGCTGAAGGGAACTAAGAATATGATGATTAGTTTCTGAGCATACATGAAGAAGAGCAATCTTTTTGTTTTAGGTTGTTATTTGATAACTATATAATTGGATTCAGTTATTTTTTTTAGTAATATTTTGATGAAGACACTCTTACAATGTGGATAAACACAGAAACTAGTCCTTGTTCTTTGTCTTGTCTAACACTACACTGCTGGCTTCAAATGCCTATCTGTAATAGAAATCGGAGTTCTCTTAAAAAAAGTTATCTGACTTTTCATATTAGTTGTTTTACTTTATCTATAATACAAAGTAAATTACTCCAGTTGCCTGATAACTTTTGCTGAAATAAATCATGTATATTATATTTTTATTGTTGTACTTCTTAATAAGAAATTTTAGACTTGAAAATAATAACACTATAAATAAAGAAATTAATTATGGTTAACAATATGAGATGTTAATTAAAATAGTACAAGTAGGTTGCATATACTGCATCAAAGATTGACACACTGATTTAGTTTTATAAACTTTATTTCAGTACATCGTTGATCAATGTATGGTCAATGTATGGAAATTTATTCCCCAAAGATATATGAGAATTTTGGTCATTTGTCAAAATTAATTGTTAATTTGGTGTAAATTTTATAGTAGATGAAATATATGTAACCATATGTGTTTGGCCATAAATATATATGTACGTATATATGTATAAATATGCATGTGTATGAATTTGTGTGTGTAAAAAAAAAGAGAAAAGAGAAAGTGAACCTCTTATATGAGCAGTATGAGCACTTTTAGGAAATTTATGACCTCCCCTTTACCCACAGTGATGAAAAACAAAGTTGCCATGCCTCTTTCCTCCCTCTCCTGGTTGACAACAGAAGGAACATAGTATTCAGATACCTGAGAAAACATTCCTTCACCTGACCTTGTCCCCTTTGCTTTATTTTTGGACTCTATCTTGGATTTAAAATATTTCATTTATTTGTTTTATAAATACCTATTTATCTCTCAGAGAAGGATTAGACTATACATCAAAATGAAGCAAAGTGATGGATTACAAATAAAAATATTTAGTTTTCTCAGGTTAGTTTTCAGATTTTTTTAGTGGTAGTGAAACTAGGGACTCCATTCAGCGTTGTCAGAGTTCAAGAAAACACAGTCCTCCTCTTACCCTTGAATGTAGGATGACATTCATTTATATATTTATTTACTGAGTGTTGAGTAAGTGCCCAGTGATTTGCTAGACCTACATAATATACTGCTGAGAAAAAAATACCACATATACCTGCAGTCATGAATTTTGAAGAAGACAGATATATGTATAATCTAGTGAAGAAGGCAAACATTCAAGCAATCATGTTAATATCATATAATTATAAACACGTGCTCTGAAATGAAGGAAAATTGATCTATGATCGTGAGCTCTAACTCAGGCTTGGTGTATGGGGCAGGATCCCTGAAGGATATGTTTGTTTTGTGAAGGTCTTTGGATGATAAATAGGGAAGAATATGTTGCATTTCAAGTGGCGGAAATCACATACAAAAACCCATAGTAAGAATGGACAAAATAAGTTCAAAGAACTGAATGAGTTTAGTATGGCTGGAGAGCAGTTATTTAGAGGAAGAGAAAGACATGCAAAGCCTGGGCTCTGGGAACTTGTAGGCTATGTCAGTAATTTTGTTTTTTCTTAAAGGTAAATGAGCATATCCTAAAATTACTGACAAGGGCAATAATGTTATGATGTTTGAATTTGTTGTGGTCACTTAGGCTGTTGTGAGGAAAATGGATTGAGGGTTCATGTGCATGAATGTGGAAGGACAGTAAGGATGTGACTGGGACAGTTTAGGAAGAAGCGGTGCTGATAGCTTGAGCTAGGGTCATGACAACTGTACACTTGGAAAGAGACCAATGTTTAGAAAACATATATTGAAGATAGAAATAACAGAATTCACAGACAGGTTTAGAATGAAAGGTAAGAGAACTGACACTATCAAAGATGCCTCCTTTGTCTCTGCTTGAGGAACTAGATGAATGAAAAGCAAAGAAAACATGACTTTATGTGGTGGTGTGTATAGTATGAGGAGATGCTTTTGAAACATAAAGGTGCAGCTGTTAAGTAGGTAAGCTATACCAGTCTGGAGACTAGGTGGAAGTAATACATGTATTTAAAACCATAGACTATGTTGAAAAGACCTAGGCTGAGTGAATGGAGTAGGATAAGAGCTATCAGTGAGATTTGATAATATACAATATTTGATAGCAAAGTAAAAGAGTAGGATTAACTCACAAAATAACTGAAGAAATTTTATAAATTCTATAGAAACACAGGAAAGGGGTGTCATAGACATCAAGTGAAGTGACTATTTCTTTAAAAGAAGAACTGTTACATTGGTAGAGGCATAGAAACATGATTGAAGCAGACCATAGTCAGACAATGGACAGAATGAAATATACAACTCTTTACTAACAGGGTCAATCTAAGCTACTCAAGAAGTCAAGTGTATAGATTGGCTCAGGGAGATAGAGAGCTCCTCTATTGGTACAATAAGTACAAAGGTTTGTTGGTGAAAATAGTAAAGTGAACTATAACGGGACTCAAAGCATAGGCTTAATGTTTATATGATAATAAATTTATACCATTTTACAATTTTCTTGTATATCCCAAAACATGGAACATTGAAAAGGCCATAAGGATTTTTGTTTAAAGCACTTATAAAGAACTTTTCTAGGATATCCTTTTATACACACACACACACACACACACACACACATACACACACGCGCACTCTTAAGGAGATACCCTTTCAGATATTATTGGGAAAAATGTATTCATAACTTAATAAAACCCACCTGCATAATTTCTGTTCTACCTTAGTTTTTAAATACCTACCATAGAAGACTCTCTTCTTAACCTCTCACCATTCTTTACCAGTGAATTATAATAATTATAATTAAGCATTATTCACCAAACATACTCATAGAGAAATTCAAGATTTATAAACATGTTGATAATTGTATTTTGTATGGATGCTTAGGAAGTTATCCATGGTTTAATGTTTTCTTTTTCTTTATTTAATTTCTTTCAATCTGTTTTTACTAATTTTCTCCTCAATACATTTTTATTGGCCCCTACATTCTACCTATTGAATGTTGTATAAGGCTGTATGAGAGAAAAATGAAAACAGTATTTATTATGATGAAGGGAATCATAATTTATATTTGGGGATGCTTACCTATTATGGATTCAGTTGGAAATTGCTGGTAATTTTTTTATTAGATCCATGGAGATTTCTTTGCACTATTTAATACTTCTTAATAAGTTTCTTGAATATGTAATATCTTTTCTGATTGCTTGTAATGTTAATTTTCACAGGTGAAAAGCAAAAAGGATGTTTAAGTGCTGGTCAGCTGTTTTGGTTCTTGGATTCATTTTTTTGGAGTCAGAAGGAAGGCCAACCAAAGAAGCAGGATATGGCCTTAAATCTTATCAACCTCTAATAAGATTGCGACACAAGGTACAGTCACTATTCTCAAGTTTCTTATAGTGTCCAGAAATTAGGAACTAAAATATTAGTTTTCTGATTTATTATTCACTCAGGAGCACTTATTTCAGAATATGCATTCATAATGTAATTATGAAAAATGCATATTTTTAAAACAAAATGGTAGTGACTTTAGAAATTTACAATTTTCAGAATTGTGTACTTCTAGACAAAGTACTGAGATGACTCATTTAAAATATATTATTAAGGTTAAATAGTAATAGTAACATATTTATAAAAATAAGTAAATGCATTAAGACCTAATCAATGGGATAGTTTCTATTATATCCACCTTAATTTTAAGTTTAAAACTTTTTAAACAAAATCAAAAGTATTATGCCCTTAAATTTGTCATAAAGATAGACAAAAAAGAATGTCTATACTATGTGGAAATATATAAGTTGGTAAAGGATTAATTTTTGTAGAATTAATTAAACTAAATTTTAATTTAATAAAACGTCATAATTTTGGGCCGTCTATTGTTCTTTTAATACTTAACATCTTTATGTTAAATATTTTCAAGTGTAAAATAAATTGACATTTAGGCATACTGTAAATTACATAGTTTATATGCAGATCATGATACTATAAATAACAAACTCAACTAAATCTTTATTAAGTCAAAGTTTACAATACATTTTGGTTTAAATAGAGAGTAGAAAATATGCAAAAAGCATGCTAATTATGAGAGACAATATATATTTTTGAAGTTTCTTATAGTGCTTTTCTTTAGAAAATACTTTTAAAATAAACAGATATATTAATTTTCTCCTTTACATTCAACACATACTTTTGGTATTTACATTATATATATTTCTTGCTGAAATTCCTTCATAATATTATAATATTTTAATAAAATAGTGAAACTTGATTGGGATTTATATGTGGCAGACACTAGGCTAACATCTTAATTATATTATTTTATCTTCAAAACAATCTTATGGAGATTTGCCTATTTTCATTTTATAAATTAGAAATGAAAAGTCTGGTAGGCAGAGACAAATGTATTGGAAAAAAAAAGTCAAATCATGTTAAATATTTCAGTTATATCATGATCTGTCCTATGCTATCTTTCTGCCAAAATTTTCATTTGAAAGATTATTTTTAAATAGTGAGGAAAATTTAATAGGCATTGAAAAAGATTAAATGTGTATAAATGATAATTGTTAAAAGTGGAATTTTATTAATTATTCATGAAGTAAAAACTTGTTATTGAAGATAGTAAAAAAGAAAGATAATGGTAAAGGAAAAATAAATAAATTAATTAATTAAAAAAGATTTTTAAAAAAAGAAATGAAAAGTCTTAGAAATGTTAAGGGATTTTCTGAATACATACATTTATTACATGTATTAATTGGCTAGGCATAACATGTGGGATAGGTTTGATAGTCAGAAAAAAAAGGTAAGTAAAATGTAAAAGTTCACTTTAATGTCAAATATCATTGTAGAAATTTAGTCACATGTGAAAACATGTGAACTCTTAAAGTTTCTGGTCTGAGTAAAAACAACTGGAGATTTGGCTTTATTCCACTGACTTTCAATGATCAGTCATAACCTCTACTGCATGGACTAATAATCAATTTTATCCCAGCCCAATATTTAGAAATAATAATGCCTTTGTGAATGTTGTCAAAACACAATTTCAGTACAACATATTGGCTCTTACTACAATACACCCAGTGAATACTTAATCTGTGCTGTGTGTCTGCCCAAACTTATGCATCTTGAGGTCAAAACTATGTCTTCTTAATCCTTTCATTCCTGTGTCATTAAGTGCAGTAAATGCTGTTAAAATGAATCTCTATGAGTCTTTATCTCTAAAGAAAGTAATACATGATTATTGGCATTGAAAACCAAGAGGCAGAGAATGTTAGGGTGGTACTTAACTTTGAAACAACTTGGGACAGCAGTGAAACTAAGCTATAGAAAGCCTTGTGTGAGTGAGTGTGTATATGTGTCCGTGTGTGTGGCGGTGGGCGTCTGGCAAGAGTAAGTAAGTGCCCTCAGTTGTCCAATCCCCTGCAAGAGCCACCAGATAATTTCCAATCACACCCAACACCCACCTGACCACTGGGCACTACTTTTCCTTCCCCAAGAACTTGAAAACTAATCTCATTATGGCCTTTATTTTTGGTTTGTATCGGTCATTATTTGGATTTCAAAAATATCTGGTCATCCTTTCTTTCCACAGATTCTCATTCCAGTTTGGCTTATATGTCACTTGATTGGTGAGGCTTTCCCAAACCTTAATTGAAAATGGAAAAGCCATAAACATCCTCTCTCTCCCTCTTTTTATTTATTTCTATCCATAGAACTTATCACCATCCCTCAAGATACATATTTCACTTATTTATTAGTTCATTGAATGTCTCCTTCCATTATACTATTCATTTTGCTGTATCCCAGCACTGAGAACAGTGTTTGGCAGATGGTAAACATTCAGAAAATATATATGAAATGAGTGAGTCCATCTGCTGACTAGAATAAGACTGAAATCATGATGATATATGTATTTGTATTAAGTCAATTATATATAATTGTATTATATAATTATAACTAATTCATATATAATTTTATCATTAATTAAAATTAATATATAATTAGGTATAACTATCATTTAATCAGACCAACATCAGAGGAGCAATGCTTAAAATAACTTTATAAACATTATTTTAATAGTATTATATAATATTTCCCATTATTTTTTAACCTAGTTTTTGTTTAAATTACAAAAATATATAAATGTCTACATGTAAGACTGGGGGAATGCATAGAGACTTTCTTTTTCTTTTTTCTTTTCTTTTATTTTTTTAAATTTATTTACTTTTTAAATATATTTGTCTCTGCCTCCCCCCCACCTCTTTCCCTTGCCCCCTCCCACCTTCCCTCCCTCAGCTCTATTAGGTGTAGGTTTCACTAATATTAAGTATTAGTTATTGACTAGAAAAGTAAAACATGAATGATAAATACAGTTGATCTCCAGGCCTGATTAATCATTTTCCATATTTTTCCGGAGAACTTTCAGTACTTTGAGTCTGAACCAATATATGCATAGAACTTCTTTTTACCAAATATTTGTGTGACAACTGTATAATGAATCTGCTTTGGGAGCAAAAATTGAAATCTGAGACTTATTTCTGAGGTTACATAGATGTATTATAGATCTAAATATAAACATATATGTACATATTTATAAAGTTTTCAATAATTATATACATAAATGTGATTGAAAATATATTTGTGTCTCAAGATAAGCACAAGTAACATATAAATACATCTTTCTAATTATAGAAGTCTTAATTATAGTCTACAGTATGTGTCTGAGAGAACTAACCATGTATTTCATACAATGTATTTACCCAACAAGCATTTATATAATATCAAATGTAGGAATTTATGAACATTCTAGAATTATAAAATATGCTGACCACATTCCAATCCCAAAGTGGTTATCTTATTTATTGTTATTTAAAAATAAGTGGTCCATACTTATATTACGCTAGGTGCTTTCATATACCTTAATTATTGTAACTTAATCTTATAATAGTCCTGGGATGCAAGGACTATTATTTCCTTTTATCTAAATAATATTATTAAAACTCAGAGAGGTAAAGTAACTCTCCTAAGGACAAGAGAGGGAAGAAACAGAATCAAAGAGATCAGTAAGAGACAGAAAAAAGCAAAGGTAGACAAAAGCAAAGGAGATGGGGAAAGGAACCAGAAGAAAATGATGGTGATGAAGGTAAAGCAACATCACCCTAACCTCTAGGAGAAACATCTCATGGTCTTTCAGACTGTTCTCCTGCCCCTCCAGAAGCATACCCAGAGTGTTCTCATCTTCGTTTCTTAGCCAGACTAACACATCTTCTCCGAAGGTGGTTGTAGCTCTAGCTTAGGGCCAACTTCTCAGTGGAAATTCACTAGGAAGCAATAGTTACCACGGTAACTGCTGGTATGTAGCTAGGAATCTGGGTGTTGAGCATTGTTTGTAACTATTCATTGACATGTGCATGGGTGATAAAATTCCTGAAGTCTCCCAAATTTTGAGTTATCAGAAGAATCGGTGTACTCAGAGCAGCCTTTGTATAACTCAGTTCCGTCAGACATTTAGTTTAAACGAGGTGCTTTTTTAGGTTCATTCTGTACATTTGGTCATTTAATTGTGAATATTCCCATGTGGTAAGTGGTTTTATTGCTGTTTTATAGATGAGGAAACTGTCATTCACAAATGGTTAGTAATCATTTCATATTGCATACTGAGCAAGTTAGGAAGCAAGATTTAGGATTTAACACACAGAGTATAAAACTTAACACAAGTTAAACAACAAGTATTTTAGGTATTAATTTGACCTGCATGCAGTATATGTCCTATTCTCCCCTCATTCTGACTACATGGTAATAAGACAGAATTTTATTTCTTGGCCCCTTTGTGGTTGGATGAGATTATGTGTCTCATACTGGCCAATGCGTAGTGAGAACTATCATGCAGTGCATCTGGGCTGAACATTTGATTACCATTGTAAAATCTCCCCAAACTGTCTTTTGCCTCTAGCGTGGCAAACATCCTCAGATCAAGGTAGTGGCAGCTTAATCATCCCAAGTGTCTAAATAACTATGATGAATAAAACATGTGAGCAATTAGTGATTCTCTTGAAATGTGAAAGGAGGGAAAAACTTCTGTTCTGAACCGTTGAGATTTGGGAGTTGTTTGTTATCTCAACCAATACAGACTAGAATTTACTATAAATTTATATCACCTAACCACAAATCCTGGACTCTTTTTTTCAGTACCATCTTGACTTTCTGTTTCACTTCTGCTCTTTGGGATTTTCTTACTCTTTTTTTCTCCATTATTTCTTTCTTTCATTTCTTGCTTTCATAATTTCCCATCCCAATTTGACTTCCTGTTGTATTTATAACCCTGCAATCTGTATGCACTAATATTTTAGTTTATTACCATAGACCTTCATTGA